GAGTCAAGTGCAGCAGATGTGGTGCTGTATTTTTTTCGGAACCCAGATTAGTTTTGATGTAAGAGATTGTTGTCGGACAGGAAATTGCTAATTTGGTAGTTCAATACTTTTTCAAAATTTTTCATCAACGGAGACAAACTTGAGATTGGTCGGTAGTTATTTGGATCATCTTTAGGGCCCCCTTTATGAAATGGACGAACATAGAAATGTTTCCATTCTAGAAGTACCGATGCTTCATTTATGGACAGGTTGAAAATATGGGCTATAGGTTTATATATTAGGTGACCAACAGTTATCAGAGCAAAGATAGGAATACTATCCGCTCTGGAAGAGTAGGACCCTTTGATTTAGGACAAATGTTTCAGAACATTATTTTCGTGGATAGGCTGGAAACTAAATTCGTTTAATGTTTGTACAGGGGTGTCAGAAATTGCATTAGCAGCATTGACTCCGAATACATTACTATTATCCAAAACGTCAACAGCTTCAGAAAATGTAAGGTTAAAATTGTCGACGATTTTTTGGGGCTCTTAAAAATAGTACCCATTTCGGTTAAGTGCAACTGGAAGATTATATGTATTAGATGCCTTTTCAATACATTTAACTGTTTTCCAGAAGATCTTGGCGTTGCCACGTAATTTTGCATGCCGTATGTTTTTTTACACATCTATTCCTTAAAATCCTGTACTCTAAGCCAGTCATTGACCAAATTACTTTTCTGAGCACATGCCCAAGCCTTGTCCCTAGTTTTAATGAGCTTAGTAATCAAAGGATCAAACCATGGTTGGATCCTTACAATTAACATACTGACAATGAAATCACGTAATTCCAGGATCGTAAAATCAGTTTAAAATATCCAAATGACAAATTTCAGTGCACTTTTATGATATAGGTTAAATAGGATACAATTTTTATGCCCTACATAAGCCAATGTGCAACACTCACATCTTGACGACATGGCTGAAAGACTGCCCTGGATATTGTCCCCATTGTGATACCACAGCATCAAAGCCACTCCACAGGCACCGCCCCCCGCACAACCACACCCTGGCCTCTACACACCCCCACCTCAGCCCCCCCCCTCCCCTCTCCCCACGATTGAATATACTCACACACACATTGTGTCCTGATTGAGATCACCTGGTCTAACAGTCGGGTTTTATTCCGAGCATTCCTCCGAGGAATGTCCAACGGTTTCCTGGCACCGGGAGTTTGGCTCGACCCAGCCAGGACAGTCTACATCGCAGTGCCCCTGATTTGGATTAATAGTGTATGGGCGCAAAAAGATTGCCGGCTCAGCTGCGATGAGTTATACATTGCTGAGAACAGTGTCAGGGCGGGCCAGAGTGAAGAGTGCGGGAAAAGCAATGGGTCAGGGGAGACCAAAGGCAACCGCGGTCTATGCGAGAAGAAAGGCCCCATGTGTGGCCACAGGTAGGCACACGGTTGCCCGCGCGCAATCACATGACCCAGGTCAGTTGAAGTTGAGAATAAAAGGTGAGACCCGGGAACGAGCGGGCCATCTTGTCTCCTAAGTCTTCGCCGTGGGCATTTCAGCAAGCTCCCCTCTCTTCGCCGCTCACAGCGTCCGTGCGACACCAGTGACTGCAGCGACGCAGCACGAGGGAAGAACGCTTTGGTCGACATGGTGGGTAGGCAGCGTCAGAGAAGGCTTTTCTCGCAATACACTCTCGGGTCGTACCGACTAGACTGCTTACTTTCAAGGGTTTGTTTGCACCTAAAATAAAGGTATTATCAAGACGGCGTGGTGTCACCGGTATCTGTGTAAGGGGCCGTCCACACAATTTTGGACGATTTTTGACCCCCCCCCCTCGTCACACAGCGTCACAAAAAGTCAGACCCCCCCTCAAATATGACGTCACAAAGCTCTGCCCCCTCCCTCAAACCATATTTCCATTTTGCAAATAAAATATGCTTCAAATTGCTTTAAACTATTGTCATTGTAGTGTGTATGTAATGTGGCGCTCCAATCTGATGTTTTAGGAGTGTTGTTATAACAATTAGTGTTGTTATAACAATTCCATATTTATTTAAAGTTGCGCATTTTGATGTGACGTCACTTTTCTCAAACCCCTCCCCCCTCGTCACACATCGTCACAAATGTCTGACCCCCCCCCCCCAAGTGCGTGACGTCATTTATGGACGGCCCCTAAGTCATGTATCGAGTGTGTGTGCGCGAGAATAGTCGGGGGCGGCACGACATAACGCTCCGAGTTCACGCATTGACGCACTTAGTGTGGCCCCGGGGTGGCGTGCGCAGCGGCATGAGTCAGAGGAAGGAGCGAGCGAGGGCCCACGCGGGAACGGGCGATAACGACCCGCATTTGTGGCGGTCTCTCGCCGAGTGTTGGTGTTGTCTGCCACGCGTTCGTGCCCAGCCTTTGTGCTGGCTGTCGCGCGTCTCGCACTGCATTATTGGCATAATTCGTCATGCTTTTCGCGTCGTGTCTGCGTAATATCTGGCATTGGGTAAATCCACGTCAGTGTATTGGGTGCACCACCGAGGAATTAACCCGACGGTCGAGTCGGACATGGAGCCCCAAAATTGTTCGTAAGAAAGACATTGGCATGTTTACCACACTGTAGTTAATTAAGATCAACATTTCTTGACGTTTATCTCAATATTGTTTCCCTTTAACGTGACTTTACCGAAAGAACCAAGAATATGAATCACTGCAGTCACCAAAGTTTTAAATCAAAGTGTATCTCTATATTTTGATTTAAAGCTTTCGTGACTGCAGGGATTCATATTCTTGATTCTTTCAGTAAAGTGACTTTACCGAAAGACCCAAGAATATGTTTATCTCTATAGTTTTCATAAAGTGCATGTTATGGCAGGGATCATTCCCTTTTTAAGTTTTACACGAGAGAGTATGTAGTTATATGTACCTTCAACATGGGGCTGCTGAGGCCTTTGTCTCCCTAGTGGTGATGTTGTGATATCACAGCTGGTGTGGTGCCACCGCAGCGGAGCAACTCGGCCGGCGCTAGCCTCTCCTCGCACACCCCCCCCCCCCACGAACGCACGCCCCACTAAACACTCGCATGCACCCCCGTAGGGTCTCGAGGAGGGATCACCTGGTACGATGGGTTTTCACCCGAGGACCCCACTAGTAGGGATGTTCCACGGTTTCCCCAGACCAAGAAATTGGCTGAGCCCCCCAGACCAGATTACATGGCGGCCCCCCAAAAAGGGGGCATAGAGCTTTACAGGCTGGCTGCGATGAAGCATACACAACACGGGGGAATGGGACCTCAAGGCCAGCACCCAGCGGAAGTGTAAACAGTGGGGTGGGAGGGAAAAGCCCCTAGGCATATAACAGTTGATTTAAGTTGGAGGGAGCGAGGGGATTATCGGTGAGTCAACGGCGGGGAACGCAGGTACAGAGACAATGGGAAGGGGGGGGGATGACGCGACCCCCCCCCCCCCCCCAACGGCCAGAGCGCTCAAAACGGCCGCAAAGAGGATTCGATTGGATGCGCAGGATGACGTCATATGACCCGGGGGTTAAGGGGCTTTGGGGCACATAAGGGGGCCGGAGGGGCGGATTGACTCAGAGTTCTTCTGGAGTGGCGGAGAGTACCAGCCGCCCTCAGCGTCCGTGGGACGCCTGCAGGGTGCAGCTGAAAACGATTGCCCAGGCAAAGTCTCCCCAAACCCCATCGTGCAGCTGGAAAGGTGAGTCAGTACGGGGGGGGGGGGGGGGGTGGCAATTCAGCCCAGCTCGCATTCAGCTCGAGCTTGGAGGATAGACGCACTCTGCCACGGCCAGGTGACAGGAGGTTAGGCGCTGTCCGAAGGGTGCTGGCTGGAGGGGGCCATAAACAGGGGTTCACTATTCGCTCCGGGAATAAACCCTTAGCACAGACTGATGTTGTGACGCGTGGTGCATGTGTGTGTGTGAAGAGCGGTGGGACAGTGATCGGCGCACGACGGTGTGTGGGTGACTATAAACCAGGGTGTGTATGACGCGAGCGCATATTAAAATACAAACGGTTGCCCGCGCCAGCGCGTGTGCACGCGAGAACCGCAGTATTAACGGCGAGACACGCGCGGTTATCGCGCAGAGACAATCACTGGGTGGGTACCGCGCGAGCGACGATTAACTCATTAATATCTGGACCGCTCCTGAGCGTCCGTGGCTGCCAGCGAGTTAATCAGTGACCCCCGTGGCCCGTTCCTAACAGCGGCGAGCGGCGAGTCACATACTATGACGTAATCCGCGCGGGGAGGACGCGCGAGTCGGGGGGAGGGCGCGCGCGTAATTAACCCCTAGGCGGGGTCTGCCAGCCGCTGGCTGTGTCGGTCAGAGAGGGCGCTGGTGCGGGGGGAGGGGACGGTCACCCGGTCGGGGTCGGGAGTGGAGTGGAGACGTCGCACCCCACCCGCTCGCGGGGAGTCAGGAGGGGGAGATCAGCCCCCACCTAATGCGGAGTGGGGAGGGGGAGATCAGCCCCCACCTAGTGGGGAGTGGGGAGGGGGAGATCAGCCCCCACCTAATGGGGAGTGGGGAGGGGGAGATCAGCCCCCACCTAGTGGGGAGTGGGGAGGGGGAGATCAGCCCCCACCTAATAGGGAGTGGGGAGGGGGAGATCAGCCCCCACGTAATGGGGAGTGGGGAGGGGGAGATCAGCCCCCACCTAGTGGGGAGGGGGAGATCAGCCCCCACCTAATGGGGAGTGGGGATGGGGAGATCAGCCCCCACCTAATGGGGAGTGGGGAGGGGGAAATCAGCCCCCACCTAGTGGGGAGGGGGAGATCAGCCCCCACCTAGTGGGGAGTGGGGAGGGGGAGATTAGCCCCCACCTAGTGGGGAGTGGGGAGGGGGAGATCAGCCCCCACCTAATGCGGAGTGGGGAGGGGGGCATTAGCCCCCCACAATGGCCTCTCTCAGCAGTAGTCAGCAGGTGTGATGTACACAAGGCCTTCCCTGACATAAACTGGGGTATTATAGTAAATGTTTCGGGTGGAAACTTTAGGAGGGAAACAATTGTTTATTGGACATGACATGACACTGTTTGAAAAGGAAAAATAAACAGACAAAAAAAGAAATGTTACATAAATATACAATAAAGAAAGCCACACAAATACAGAATGCTATACAAAATTAACAAATGTCTCCTACACAAAGTGTTCTACGAATAACCCATGAATAGCACCACACTCAATTAGGTAACTGTCATAAGGTTGTTGAAAAGATAAGCGAGTGATACAGAGCAGGTAATTTCACAGTCGTGTGCATTAGGGAAGTACTCGCACTCTGTGTTAGGCGATGTCCTGGAATGGAGAGAAAAAAAAACGTTTTTTCATTAGCCATTGGACAAAATTAACAACCAATATCAAAATTAACGACTGGAATATTCATAAGCGTAATCTAATATTCATGTTTTTCTTTAACTATGTAAACAATAAGTGGCATTCATGCATTATGAAGGAAACCACGCTTCAGGTTCTGCTCTAACAGATGGACGTGAGACTCCAATGTCTTCATTAAGCATGGTCTCGCTTTTTACATCACCCTTCATGGTGTTGCAATGCCCCAATCCATCTCACTCCTGCACATGAACTTATCTCATTGCTCCATGTCCCATGGTGGTTTTCCTTTAGCTTACGTTAACAAGGTGATGTCATTTCCTATGCCATGATACTTTAAAATGAATCCAAAATCTTGTTTTTCGATCATCTGTCACATTTGGGGACATTTCTAGTGAGGCAGAATAGTTTTTTGTAATTGGTGACAAATTGAACAGCGAAGTAGATAACAGTTTTCACAATGTACTGATCTCCAAAGCAAAACAGAGCTTAAACAGATTTTAACGATGTCCCGAAAAATACAAATGCGTATGTCGCCATGAGTACGGAGTGCTGTTTCTTTTTCTGTCAAGAGTCCAAATGTTTTTCTCTGACCGTGTCGATATCGTGTTCACCACCTACGTGATCACGCACAATGCCTTAACACCCACAGGAAGGACATTCCATGATATTTGTATGATCCACCAACCCCTGCCTCTACAGTGCTGGAGGTGGATGTATTCATCTCCATATATATAAAAGGCAAAGTTGTGAATATGTGTGTCTGTTCAAAATGTTTAGCGTACTTCCCGACATGCAACAAACTTGAAATTTGCCATGTGGGTACTTTCCATACTGTACACCATGCAAAAATTAAAAAATACACTTTTGTGAGTCTTTTTTGGGGGGGGGGGGGGCTCAATAATGCATTTATTTTTTGCACGGCAAGTGAGCTGTGACGTCAAATCTGTCACGTGACCCGCGCACGTGGAAGCGTAACGCATTGTAGTGGAGTGGTTAGCGCTACGCCGCGCTACGAACCCGGCGACCCGAGTTCGATTCCCGCTCACGGCCACCACCGGTGACGATTATTTGAACCGGTCCTGGGCCTCCCCTAGGTCGACTCAGCCTCAAACGTGTAACTGGTGTGGTGTGTGAACATCGCCATTGCGGAGACAAAGGCGGCCGGGCGTGGTGAATCCAAGTCCCGGGCGAAGCCGGGTAGTTAAGCTAGTCTATATATATAAAATATGGAAATTTGTGAATGTGTGTCTGTTCGAAATGTTTAGCATACTTCCCGACATGCAACAAACTTTAAATTTGGCATGTGGGTAGCTTCCAGACTGTACACAATGCAAACAGTCTAAACATAGACTTTTGTATTTTGGGGGGCGGGGGGGCGCAATAATGGATATATTTTGCACGGCAAGTGAGCGGTGACGTCACATCTGTGATGTCACCCGCATGCGGCAGCGTCACGCAGTGTGCCTGTTGATGTCACACATCCCCCCCCCCCACCCTCCGCGTAGGCCGTGTATTAATCCAAGACAAGAATCCAGGTCACGGGCGAAGCCGGATAGTAAAGCTAGTTTATTCATATAGCAATGTGATTTCAAATATTTTCAGAGCATAAAGAGGAGTCACTTACTTGTTAGAATAGCAAGTGGATCCTATACCCTTTAGATTTAAATGATCAATCAGATCACGTTGAGTTCCAGAGTCGCATGTCTCTCCATTACTACAGAACACATCATCCAGGCCTTTATTGTTCACACGGTAGATTAGGATACTGGTTAAAACACGGTTACCAATGTTGTGTTTTTATTCACACAAACACCAAAAATTATTTACAACATTAGGGGCCGGTCCAAACATAAAAAAATCCTATGAGGCCCGCTTATCCGTGCATGTTCCTCCTACCCACACAAAGAATACATTGAGATACATTTTCTACTTATAGATTATTTATCTTATCAATTCCTGTGCATGGATAATATTATGAGTGACAGAACCACTTTCAGTCAAATTTTAATTGGATAATATCTACAGCAAGCACACAAAGGCGCAGGTTAACATTCTAGGTCATGCCACTGGCGGAAGAACCAACACCAGAGGAAGCTTTACAGGGCTACTCTCGATGGTATTTTCGGCGTATCTTCCACACTGGCCAAACATCTTGGAAGAGGAGGGAGTACCCACACTTTACCCCACCACATACTACTGGGTGGGCAGAGACGGTAGGGGGGGGACGATTCAAGAAACTCCCATTGTTGCAACTGCCCCACCGGAAGATGGAATTTAACCGTTGACCTCTGGATAGCAAATCCAGTGTTCTAACTATTGCATCGTCACAGCATTTAAGAACACACGATGTATTTGTTGCCAACGTCAATCTTCTCTTACTCCAAGTTTCATGCAGATGACAGTATCAATTTATCACTCGTGTAGACCACTACCGGGGGACTTCTATTCACGGAAAATTTTCAGTTTTTATCATAATTGTCATCGTCGTCAATATTGCTGCCGACTGGGCAACATCGCACCAGCTATAATAATAGGGTTTTTTCCCTTTTTTCTGGCAACAAAACTGAAACCTTTTAACAAGGATTCATGTCTGCATTAACCACAATACCTGCAGTGAAAATGCAAAAAAAATACTTTGATAATATATGCATTGTCCTTGAAGCTGATTGGTCCACCTTCTTTGGTTCTTTTGGTAAAGTCACGTAGAATGAGAATAAAATAATAAATTGATAAAATAAAATAACACAATAAAATTCTCACGACGTGATTGGTCCACACCAAGGGACGGCTTTCTTTTGAGCCTCGACCCAATTGGTGCTCGACCAGATGACGCTACAGCTGTTAAGTTTGTTGGTGCACCAATAGATCACTTGCCATACCCACTCTAGCAAGCCTGATTTTGGTGGGAAGTTTTATTTTCTTAAAATGCTTACATCCACTAGTTTAGCAATTCAGTACAATGATTGTAGTGCGTGTGAACGTTAGTGTCCTGTGAAAGGTGTTTTCTTTGAAACTATTGTGTCTTGTTTTGGTCAGCTTTTGATAGGATGTAAGAACTTTTCACAGCCGCTTGAAATCTTCTATCAAGCTTTCACCACACACTACCACTCTTTAACCCCTGAAGAGACTCGTAGTTGATGCCTGCAGTAGTAATGGTCGTAAACAAACTACAAGTAGTTTGTCCTTGTCTTTTGTAGGACACATTTGTATTTTGTAGGACAAATGTGTAGGACAGACAACTTTTATTGAGACTAACTTTGTTTAGGAATGCTCCTAATAAATATATAATTTACATACAAGTCATTGGTCGATATGAATTGTAATTAAAAGTAACTAAGCAAATACCTTTCGTTATTGATAACCCAGATGTCCATGTGAGTCACTCGTGGAGATTGAAGTATAGGAACCTCGTTGTCATAAAAAATACTGCAACAAAAACACAAAAATTGAAACATTAACTTATTATCATTGTAATGCTTCTTGAAACAAGGAAATGCAATTTATCCATATACAACACATTAACAGTGGAAACGTATGTTGTCTATCAAGTGAATTACTACATTTAGTAGCTATCATAGCTTTCCATATGAAAAGCACTTGAACATGCAGAGTACGTTTAAGTTTTAGTCAATTTATTTTTAGAGATAATTTTAACACATCTGTTCAAGTTGTTGAATTTTACAGTATTAGATGATTGAGGATTAGTTAAGTATCTCGATATTGTTTAGGCACATGTTGAAAAATGAATTGCCTTTTTTGGATATTATGGTAAAACGAAATGTTGATGGTTCTTTAGTCACTACTGTGTACCACAACATATATGGCTTCGGGTAAATTATTAAATGTCAAATCATTCCAGCCGGCAACCCATATGAGAAGAGTAGTTAAATCATTATGATACGGAGCTCACAGGGTGAGTTCAGATCATATCCTGCTCAAAGCTGAGTTGTAAAGAGCAATGAATTGTTAAAATGGAATGGTTATCCACAATCCTTTCGTGAAATGTTATATAGGCCAATTGAAAGTGACGTTAATTGTAGTGGTGCCACAACAATGTGACTCAATGACTTCCTGCCAAATGAAAGGAGAAAAAAAAAGTTTTGCTGGCTGGCACACGGGAAGGCGATGATGTCACCCGCATCCCACAGCGTTGAGCTGGGTTAGTGCATCGAACTGACTTCATGCCTACCCCCCACCCTCCCTCCACCCTGGCCGTGTATCTCACACAAATGCGTGGGCAGTGCTAGTTATTCAGGATGATAAATCAAGGCATTGGCTAACCTGATTATTTGGACATGGCTGCTTAAAAAACATCGTTTTATATGCGGTAAACATAACCTTTTTAACCATTTTCATCCAGGGATTATCAGAAATGAAACAACAAAGATTTGAACCTTATTGCAAACTAATTATTGCATTGTTACAGTTTGACAACGTGGGAACACTTTATGCACTTATGTGTCACACTAGCAACACCGTAATACAATATTTGACACTGTAAATTATTAAATGTCAAATCATTTCTCTTCAACGTGACTTTACCGAAAAAACTAAGAATATACTGTAAATCAGTTAGTAATTTAAAACAAATTTGAGACGTGACACTTGTACACAATCATCTGCTCTTTAAAAAACACACAATACCAAACCATATCAGCATTTGTGCTGTTGTCAGGAGCGGGAATGTCTCTTTGGCTCATTTATATGAAGTAAACTCACCTTCCTGGCTGGTAAGCTCCACCTTTAAGCAACACTCCTACAACACCTGTGGCGGATTTCGCAAACTGAAAATGAATACGCGCACACCAAATGAAATATTATCTCCTCAGCAACAACTGTAATGGAAAGCCCAACAGCAGGCAAGATGAGTTTTTATTTGCAAAAAATATAACGTTGGGATTTTTTCCATAATCATCATCATCAGCCACGCTCTGCCCATTGCTGGAAGGACGCCTCCTAAAGGTCCTTGCAAGCCCACGTGATCTCGCGATGCAACAATCCATCTTGCTCCTACACAAGCTAGCCTCATCGCTCAATCTCGGTGGTCATCATCTTGCCAAGAGAGTTATCTCCTTTGACTGCGATTCCCTTACCAGTGTTGTGCATCAGCCATCATCCCATGATGGGTCCTGCCAATATTGCTTATTTTTCTCAAGTCACAATGTCTCTAATTTGCATTTGTTCCCTTTTTTTATTTCTAGATACATTTCCGACAGAGCTAATTGCAAGGCCATACAAGTCAGTAAACATTGTACATCTCGGCCATCAAGGGAGAGGATTTCAAAGTAAGTCTAAACAACAGATTCAAATGCCTTGAGAAACAAAATCATTAAATGACAGTAGAGCATTGTCACCAATTAAAAAAAAAATAAACAAATAGAATTGCCTCAAGATGAATATGCACCTGTCAAATTAAAAAAAAGTGCATGCTAATTATGTGAATATATATTACCCATGTTGAAGCAATCCTCCAGAAGTTTTTCTCAACACCTTCACAACCTTCGCAAGTTACATAATTCAAAGCTGAAAAGCGAAAACACAAACGCCATTATATTGTAAAGCATATACTCGTAATAGTATTACCAAATCAGACCTTTCATAAACCATAGCACTGAAGGACATATTGTAATCTTGCACCCTCCACTTCATACAAACTTTGACACCAATATATTGCCGATATCACGTGTTTTTGCGTCAGACAAGCAGGTTTTACCTAACATTATTTAATTGTTGCAGTGCTGAAGTGTTATTCTGAAATATTGATTCACATTTTTACGATATTAAATCACTTAGATTAGAACTAACTTGAGGTGTCTTGTGTGGTCCATGCATTACGTGACACAAATCTAAGTCTAAATCTCGCTGTCGAGACCTATAAACTTTGTGATGTGAGGAGGTATTGTATTTAATTTGAAATTAAATAACATACTGTTAGACAAGACAAAAAGATAACCATTGATTAAAATAGTATTTAATTGTAAATAACTGTCTACACAGCACTGGATTTTCATTCAAGTATGTTGCAATGCTATTTATCATTCAAGTGGTAGTGGTCACGTGCGATTATTAAGAAGTGCTCCTTTACATTATGAGACCTCCTTTGCCAGTAGCAAGATATAGTAATAGGTTTTTACCCTTTTATCTGACACCAAAACTGACACCTTTATACAAGGGATCATGTTTGCAATAACCACAACACAAGCAGTCAAAATGCAAACAAAAAGAGACAACTCTGATAATGATATGCACTGTCCTTGAAATTTATTGGTCCACACCCGAGACGGCTTTTCGTAGAGCCTAGTCTCCACTGGTGTTGGACCAGATGACGCCAAAAGGCATACGTTATTGCAATCTTGATCCCTTGTATAAAGGTGTCAGTTTTTGTGCCAGATAAAAGGGTAAAAACCTATTACTAGTGCTCCTTTGTGTGTGCGCACTCTCAATTCTCAAACTATATTTTGTACTTGTTTTTTCCATGGAATTTGGCAAACCGTTGCACTTGAATGCATTGGTTATCCAAACATTCTGTACTAGTACATTTTTTGTCAATGTACACATTTGTATAACTTTTAATTTGTTTGAATAAAATGAATACTTCACAAACAGTAACTTTGGACTTCCACATCTGCTTCATAGTGATGCTGACTCACATTAAACTTTATAAAAGTACATTTTAAGTGCTATTCATTAAAAATAATTTCTTTGTAATGTTTAGTTAATTATTCTGAAGTTATTAATTCAGAACTGAATGTCAGGTGCTAATTTAGTGTAAACATGAGGTAATTCAAATTTTGACTTAAAACTTTCGTGACTGCAGGAATTCATATTCTATGGTTCTTTTGGTAAAGTCACGGCGATAGAAAAAATAAAGTGATTGTTTTCTGTTCCTGATGACGACCGCTTGTGTTACGATCAACACGTGATATTTTTAATAACTTTCTTTTTATTATTATTTTTTCTTCTATCTACGTGACTTTACCGAAAGAACCATAGAATATGCAGTACATTTTCAATGGTATTATTTGCAGCGTGAAAAACTTTCTAAGTAAACAAATAAATGAACGTATTGGCAGTACACCGGTGCGCGATAAAAAAAAATCTGATTTTTCGCAATCATTATTTCTTTTATATATTTTCCCGCAATTCGCAACCCCGGTGACAAAATGTTGCGGGGTGGTGCGTCAAAATCAGTTCTCGTGATGTCGAAGCAGTCGAAAGACGGATGTTATGAGCAGCTAAACACGAAGATTCACAGTCTGTTGCCGTATAACAGCACCCATCCTGATGACGATTGGCTGGCTCTGTGTTCCAAAGGCAGATTTGACTCCTCGTGCCCGAGACTTGGTCAGACGGTTCCTCGATCAATTTCCGAAATAATTTCTTAGCGGATGGTGGCATCAAAAGATTATGACTCATGGTGTCACACGTTCGAATGGTAAAGCAAGCTGCTCAATCTAAGGCGACTTCTGATGGAGAGCCTGCAGCTCACTCAAGGACAACAGCGACATGGTGAGACTGTTTTATGAGCACCGATGTGTTATGCTGCACCGGTGTACCGCCAATACGACAAAAATCCTGCATGTTAAAGAAAATCAACCTAATATTCTGGTAGAGCTATGCTGACGGTTGGCTGTCCGTTCGGGGGTACACGACTAGCAAAAGGTTGTGAGCGACGATTCCAAGGCAGCGTGCGTCTTCACCTCGTTCATACCTTTACCATCTTTAGTTGGGCACCAGTGCATGTCATCTAATATATAACCAATCAGCGTTTCTTCAAACCTGATCCGGTCTCTGTGCTTACACGTTTTTCTTTTACTCCAAAAGAGTGCCTGAAAACACATTGTCATAGAATGAACACGTTTCACATAGATACTGTATACGAAAACATGCTGTGGCGTGTAAATACGTAACTCAGAATGTCTAAATACATCACCTTGTCTTGTGGCACAGAATGATGTGCCAAATGAATGAAATTCGTGTAACTATCTGAAGAGATGTTACAATTTTTCTTGTTCATGAATGCATTGTAAAATGCCTCCCAAATCTTCTCACAATCTTTATACCTAAAGGAAAAAGATAGCTTTGTCTTAATATAAGGTTAAAACAGTTTATATTGGACAGTGCTGAGACTTATATCATCGCAAAATTTTAAACAATGGCCTGCCTCCAGAATGTTATGAAAGTCACAACATTCGCCTTCTAGTCACTTTTTAGGACGACCTAATGCTGCACAGTTACCACATTTAGTGGTGCTTTTTTTTCTTTTGCACTCTATGATATTTGACATTTTTAATTATAGTTCAACAGAGGTTAAAAATAGAATGGAAATTTAAAATGTACATCATATGTAAACCAGCTGAGTGTTCTTAACTATTGTTTATGTCATAAACGAAAACATCTCAGAATATATTATAGTACTGATAAGTGGACTATATCTGAAAATAGAGAAGTTAGAAATGGAAATTGCCTCTTAATTACGCGATATCATAAACAAAGGCAAAGATATAGTAATAGGTTTTTACCCTTTTATCTGGCACCAAAACTGACACCTTTATACAAGGGATCATGTTTGCAATAACCACACCACAAGCAGTCAAAATGCAAACAAAAAGAGACAACTCTGATAATGATATGCACTGTCCTTGAAATTGATTGGTCCACACCCGAGACGGCTTTTCTTAGAGCCTAGTCTCCACTGGTGTTGGACCAGAAAAGGCAAAGATATCTCAAACAATACGCCTTGTAAAAATTGCTCTCATCAACACCATCATCAATAATCTTCATCTTCAGCATTATCACCGCAATCACCACCGCCACAAGCCGCGTTGTTAACGACAGCCACCCACCCACCCACTCACCCAAGGTCAGGATGGCTCTTCACGTAATTTCTGCATCTTCCAGTCACCTTGCTTTGTAGGTACGGGGTGGTTCCTGGCACGAATTCTGCTCGAAGCCCGTAGCCCCACGTAACAACCGCGAGCGTCAAACCCCACAGTACAAAACTGCCCATTGCTAAAATGTTTACTGGAGAACTGTGAAACATTTAAGAAGAAGAAGAAGAAAAAAAACCCCTCTTCTATCAACCGACGAGCAACGCAGAGACGCGGGATATGTGTGTGTGTGTTAGAACAGCGCGCTTACAATGCAATGTCTGGCTTACTGTACTTCCTGAAACTAACAAAAAAAGGGACGGAAACCTTTGGACGAGATCCAGGGCTCTTGTTGTTGCAGCGTTCGCAAATCATCGGTTTTGATCTGTTCAACAATATACGGTGAATGTTGCCCAAGGCCACACGGCGCCCAGCCAGGTATGCAGCTATATTGTAGATGCCATACATTGGGACGGTATTTACATGTTTATAAACACTGTGTGTGCGTGCTATGTACCGCAGTGCCAATAAAATACTTCTTGGCAAATATGCACTATGCTAAGCTAATTCATTAACCCCAATGTTAAATCCAAGAAATCGAATTGCCTTTTAGCTATCCCAAGAACAAGAATTGGAATAGGTGACAACGCCTTTGCCATAGCAGGAGCAACGTTTTGGAACAATCTTGTTGCCTCGCTTAACATCGTGAATCTTCCTTCAAAAAATATTGGGGCCGTCCATAAATGACGTCACGCACCTGGGGGGGGGGGTCAGACATTTGTGACGATGTGTGACGAGGTGGGGGGGGGGGGGGGAGAAATGTGACGTCACATCAAAATGCGCAACTTTAAATAAATATAGACAACACGTCCTACTTAATTAATATACTTTTTTAATAAATGTTTTCTCCTACAACATCAGAGTGCAGCGGCACATTAAATACGCACTACAATGACAATAGTTTAAAACGATTTGAAGCATGTTTTATATTTTTTTAGGGGGGGGGGCAGAGCTTTGTGACGTCATATTTGGGGGGGTCTGACTTTTTGTGGCGCCGTGTGACGATGGGGGGGGGGGGGGGGTCAAAAATCGTCCAAAATCGCGTGACGTCATTTATGGACGGCCCCTTAGGGTTGGGTATGGTTAAGGTTGGGTAGGGGTTTAGGTTAGGAATCGGAAGGGTTCGATTTGGGTAGGGTTCGGGTCGTGCTCCTTTGAGCGTGTGCATTGGCAATTCTAAAGCTACATCGAGTACACGTGCAATGAAAGTCGGCAAACCCGGATATGTACAGGGTGGTCCAGATGTCTTGTGACCGCCAATTAATTGACCCCTAACATGTTCTAGATTTGAAGCTTTCGTGACTGCATGGATCCATACTCTTTGGTTCTATTCTATTTGGTTCTACACGACGTTTCGGCCACAACACAAGTGGCCGAAACGTCGTGATTTTTGTTATTTTATTTTTTACCTACGTGACTTTACCGAATAGAACCAAAGAGTATGCGCTAACATGTTTTTCCTTTGTATATTCAATTCTGTTTTAAATAAACCATACTTTAAAAAGTTTAGTTTTAGAGAATTCAACGGGGGTCACAAGACACTGGAAACAACACTATATAGTTCGTGCGAGGACAATGGATCGAGTTATCCACCCCGAATGGACATCTGTGGAAAAGAGCTTTGTAGCTCATCGGATTCCTCCCGTATAAATACATATTCTGATTCAGAAATAAATATTCTGAGTGTAGAGGTGACGAAAAATACAAGGGACCACGCCCATAGAAATATGAAGGGTGCTGGCAAGGAAAGTGAGAAGAGGTAAAGTCACTGAGATCGGTTCAAAGATAATAACAAAAACTACGACGTTTCGATCGCAACTCAAGCGGTCGTCATCAGGAAAAGGGGGGTTATAGCTTCTAAAGACAAACTGTTAGGTGGGGTCCACTTTACATAGCTTTTTGATTCAGGCCTTCTGAAATGCCCTCATAATTTAGTTGACGGACAAACAGACAATCGGACACATGGAATGCCGGGCTTTTACAATAAGGGGACCAGTTTCAGTTGTTTCAGTTTCAGTTTATTTATTTTGGTATTGCCCTTGTGAGTCATTCGGCTCTTGAATCGGGTGCAACCACAACAAACAAAAAAACAAAAACACGAACAAGAAAACATCTTGAAGTGACTATGTGACTGTGCAAACAGAAAATCTATGAAAAAAAAGCAAAATACTCCTGAAAAAAGCACCGTACACCTACGCTGTGTGCAAAAAATCCCAGTGGAATGCAAGTCAAACAACAACAACCACAAGAAAACTTAGATTAAGGCCATCAGTCTAACTCCGTACTACAACAAAACAAACATGTCCAAACGAAAAAACGTTTTCGAAATCACCAAAAAATAAAGCCATAATTGCAACGTAACAGTGATCATAGGGACTGTGACCGAATTTTTACAATAAACTACATAAATAACATGTAACACCAAATCCTAGAGCCATAACAACAGAAGCATCAGTCGGAGTATCACATTTTTCAATGCACCTTTAAGATCAGCACGCTAAATCAAAATACAGATAATACGTTGTAGCGTCATCCGGAGCGAAACATTTTATTTTATTTTACGTCAATGAATACCAGTGGCAGCTAGGGGTGTACAACTCCTCTAGAGCAGTTTTGAGAGAAGATCTCATTGGTAGAGATTCAAGTTGCAGTTTATTGGCAATAGCATTCCAGACCCTGGGGGCATCAATAGCAAAGGTGCTTCCTCCTGTTTTTGTACGGCAATAGGGAATGTGAAGCTGGTAAATGAGCGAAGACCTGAGGTCAAATTTGTTCTTTGAAACAGAAAGGAGATCCAGCAGGTAGTCTGTGGATTTTTTGAAAGTACATCGTGAATAAATAAGATCTGGTGCACAAGCCGTCGAACATTAAGAGATCTTAAGTTTGACCCAATGTAGAGATCACAGTGGTGAGTCCTATATGGGCAGTTCAATATAAATCTTAAGGCCGAGTGATAGATGGAATCAAGCTTCTTCAGTACAGTACTTGGGGCTGATTTATACACGATGTCACAGTAGTCAAGTAGAGGCAGTATGGTAGCTTTTATCACTTCCAAACGAAACAGTGGGGAAGCAGTGCTTGTGTCGATACAGAAAACCAATTTTTATTTTTGTCTTTTTACCAATATAATCAATGTGATCTTCAAAATTCAGTTTTGAATCCAGAATTACCCCAAGATACTTATAGATCTTGACTTGCTCTATTTGATAATTATTTAAGGAATGTAATTGGGGAAAAATAACTTCCTGCTTTAGTCCTGGTGAGAAGCATAGCACCTTGGTTTTGGAGGTATTCAGGATTAGTTTAAGAGCAACTAGCTGATGTTGTAGTTTGTTGAAATCACCCTGTAGCTTAGCAATCACGTCATCCGGAGAGCGGCCAGCAGTAATCAGTATCGTGTCATCTGCAAAAAGATTTACTCTGGAATGATCCAGGTCAGTGCCCAAGTCATGGACATAAAGAGAGAACAAAAGGGGGCCGAGGTTGGAACCCTGTGGAACCCCTTTTGTTATCTTAATACTGTTTGACCTCCAACCATCTGTGAATACAGTTTGGGTGCGAGAAAAAAGGTAATTTTGTAACCATTTTACTGCGTTTTTGGAAAAACCGAGGCAACTTAGTTTACTAAGCAGGGTGTTGTGGTCTACTGTATCAAAAGCTTTGGACAGGTCTAGAAAAAGACAGGCACAGTACTGCTTATTATCAAGGCTACTGTAAATGTGATTCAGAGAGTCTAATGCAGCAGATGTGGTGCTGTATTTTTTTCGGAACCAAGATTGTTTTAGATGTTGTAGATTGTTGGTGGACAGGAAACTGCTAATTTGGTAGGTCAATGATTTTTCAAAAATTTTCATCAACGGGGACAAAATTGAGATAGGTCGGTAGTTATTTGGATCATCTTTAGGGCCCCCTTATTGAAGTGGACGGACATAGGATTGTTTCCATTCTAGAGGAACTGATGCTTCTTTGATGGACAGGTTGAAAATATGGGCTATAGGTTTGTATATTAGGTGACCTACATTTAGTACTATCTCCTCTGGTAGAGGAGGACCTTTTGAGGTAAGACAGTTGTTTCAGAACATTACTTTCGTGGATTGGCTGGAAACTAAATTCGTTTAATGTTTGGACAGGGGTGTAGGAATTTGCAGGAGCAGGGGTGACTCCCAATACATTATCAAAAAGATTACCAGCTTCAGAATAATGAAGGTTAAAATTGCCAACTATTTTTTGGGGATCTGAAAAATATTCCCAATTTCGTTTAAGCTCAATGGGCAGATTGTCTGTTTTGGATGCCTTTTCGATGCATTTGATTGTTTTCCAGAAAATCCTGGCATTTCCATGTAATTCCAGGAGAGTGGATGAAAAGTAGGCATTTTTTGCATGCCGTATTTTTTTGACGCATCTATTCCTTAAAATCCTGTATTCTAGCCAGTCATTGACCAAATTATTTTTCTGAGCACATGCCCAAGCCTTGTCCCTAGTTTTCATGAGCTTTGTAATCAAAGGATCAAACCATGGGGGGCGGTTGTCTTTAGTTTTAAATCTAACCAACGGAGCATGTTTTTGTTAAGAATTTGGAGAAACGTGTACCTGAAGGTCTCCCAAGCCGTAGTCAGGTTGGGGATATCACAGACCTTGTCAATATCCGAGTGAAGCACATCATTAGTAAATGCCTGAGTGCTGAAGTGTCTCATAGAGTGCTTCTCAACCAATTTAGGGGGGGCTTTGGGTCTGGCTGATGATCTCACCCCAAAAATGAAAGAGTGATCACTAAGGTTATTACCCAGAACACCAGTCAGTGTGAAATTGTGAGGGGCATTTGTCAATAGGACGTCAAGCAGAGATGACTGTCCCGGATTTTTTAGGTTGGGTCTTGTGGGGACATTTATTAATTGAAACATATTAAATTCATCTGCAAAATTTGTGGCCACGGCCGGCGGGTTTAGCCAATTCCAATTTAGATCACCCAACTAAAACTATTTCACCTTTAGGGAGGCCCCCAAAAAGCTCTCTCAGTGCAGATGCAGCTTCAACATCCTTCCCAATAGGCGGTCGATAGCAGCACACTGCCAATATCTATTTGGGAGAGTTATTCTGAGAGCCAGACCTTCAAAGCAACATTTTTTAAACAAGGAGTGAGCTAGTGAACATGTAATAGTATTACGAACATAGGTGGCAATTCCACCTCATTTAGATCCTCGGTCAAGCCGAAAAAGGTTGTCGTTGTCAATCGCAGAGGGTGTACTACAGAGGGATCACACTCCTCAGTGTTTCAAGTAAAGCCTATGCCAGAGTGCTGGAGAGGAGGCTCCGCCCGGTGGTTGAGCCGCAGATTCAGGAGGAACAATGCGGATTACGTCATGGTCGTGGAACAATGCAGATTCCATCATGGTCGTGGAACAATGGACCCGCTCTTTTCCCTCGCAGATATTTGAGCGATCATGGGAGTATGCTTCTCCAGTCTGGTGGGACTATGTCGCTCGGCTGATCTGAGAACGCCTGGGAATTCCCCAGGAAGAGCTAAAGTCTGTGTATAGTAGTGTATAGTGTATAGTCGTGTAAAGTGTAGTAGTGTATAGTAGTGCCATGTATAGTGTTGTGTATAGTGTAGTTTATAGTCGTGTATAGTGCAGTGTATAGTGTAGTTTATAGTCGTAGTGTATAGTGTAGTGTATAGTGTAGTGTATAGTAGTGTATAGTCGTATATAGTGTAGTGCATGGTAGTGTATAGTGTAGTGTAGTAGTGCATAGTAATGTAGTTCTGGAGTCTGTCGCCAGGGAAAGGGAGGTCTGGACCGCCCTACTCATCATGCGGGCGTCGCGACACTCACCAGGACAAGCGGTTTGAGAAACGAATGAATATTTTGGTACTTATTTTGTGTCAATATAAAATTATTTTAACGGTATTATTTGCAGTGTGAAAATTGCTACATGAAGAAAATCTGATTTGTTAAAACAATAAAGGCAGTGTGCTGGTAGGAGTATGCAGACATTTGGTAGTCTTTTTAGGAGGTAGGGGTACACGACAAGCAAAATGGGTTGGCTCTGTGTGGTGATGTCTAAAATTAACTGGTTTCAGGGCAGTGTACACATTCAACTCAGAGACCTTACCATGAGTGGTGCACCAGGTCAAGCCGTCTAACATAAAACCAGCTAGCGTATCTGCGATCTTGATCATGTCTCTATGTGAAGACTCTTTTCTTTGCATCCAAACGAGTACCTTAAATTACATTATAAAATAAACATTGCACATAAATATACAAAATCTATTTTAAAATGTAAATATATAACTCAAAATAGGTGTAAAACATCATCTTGTTTCTTGGAATAGGATGCGATGATAAATGTATGAAATGATAGTAATGCTTAGGTTCGTCACAATTGTTTAATGCTCTGGAAAATGCTTCCCAAATCTGCTCAATCTTGATTGCTTAATAAAGATACATGTTTGTTTTCATATTAGTTTTAACAAATGTATCCTGGACAGTGCTGCGGCACCTAACAGAAGGGTTGGCGGTTGGGAGAAATTCCAAAGGGAAATACGTGTGCATGTATGCTGAATTTCTTTCCCACCGTACGTAGCCAACCGTGTTCATCGGAGGTACAGAGCGAACCGTGCTATCTAAATACCTATTAATTGTATGAGTTTCAAACGGCGCTTGCGTTACATGCCATGATATTGTAAGTTATAGAACAGATAAGTACCACTGGGGTCTATATGCCAATTACCCAAATCATCCATTTGTAGAATGAAATATGATATACTTCAAATGAGACCTCGTCCATCGAAATAGGACTAGAAGAAATTCTCCAGACAAACATACATCCAAGTAAACACATGTAGAGATCAGCAGTCGTATTTTGTAGATATGCGTTTATTTAAGTTATCAGCTTTTATTTCAACCCATAGAGAAAACCAAAACTTTGATATCAGCAAGAGCATGGACATCAGAAAAACACCGTCAAATCACACCAACATGGCTACACTCCCGCCTCTTGACAGCCGAATCTCACAATAATTACCAGAGTATCATGAAAATACTACAATGACATAGAGATTATCACATTGCATTGAATAGGTTATCATACACTCATTGCAAAGGATTACATTATGAACAGCCTAGCATTAGATGTATTCATTTGTGCTGTAATATGTTATTGATTTGTTCCATTGCTATACTGCATTATATTTGGGTAACACTTTGCAATGGAATGTTTAATTGGACAACAAAAAGTAATGTTTTTATTCAATACTGTCATGGGCGTTCCACCTTTGTTTTTGGGGAATGTGCACGCATGAGATTTGCCAGTTGCCACAAAGAGGGGATAACGAATAAATGCAGTGTTAGTTGCCCTCCATTCTGCAATTTGATTAGAGCATAAGGTTATAAAAAACTAACTCCCTTTAATACACCTAAATGTTGCGTTTATTAATGTACACATCAAGTCTCCGCTCTTCATATAATACAGTAGTATTCAACCTTCACTGAAGACTGCATCACTTTGGTTCTCATCGTGCACCCCCCATGAGGTGCATGCACCCCAGGTTAAGAACCAATCATCTAATACATGAGAAACTCCAAAATATGTCTTAATTGAGTGAGGGATGGCAGTTGAATGGAAATGGATGAAAGCAAAGCAGGCCTGACACAGTACCACTCGTAAATTGCCCAAATAGCACTACCCTGCCGGTTGAAGATGTAGCACTACTTGAACATATTGGCACAAGACAGAAGAAAGTGGAAACAAATGACGAAATGTGGAGTGGACATCTACGGGATATCTGCCCATGGATTGTGATGATGCTGGATGTAGGCCTCCCTAAGCAGTTACAACCTCCCACGACCATCACCTGCACATGAAGCTCGGTTGTTTTTTGTTCTTCCATCAATCTCCTCCGGAACTTTAAAATGACTCGTGCCCGGTGTAATCAACCAACGCCAACATTTGTGGCAGCTTTCCATCCTCGCCACCGCCTTACATGGGCACCACAAGGCGGCGGATACGCGCCACGAGTGCGTTCAGCGGTGAGGACAGCATGGTGGCCGAGTTACCCGGCGAGGAGTCGTTGTTTGCAAATTGGCAGATGGGAATGTTGGGCAGATCCACGCACTGCATATGGAGCACAGATCTACAGAATTGAAGGAAACGACCGCAATTGTTTTTCCTGTCACGAGTCGACGACAAATATGGTCAAGTTCACGATATTACAACATATATGAAGCGGTATTAACTATATATGGGGCCATCTGAGTGGCCTATAAATACCATAAACAGATGTACCGTGTATTATTGTTTTATCTCGTTATGTATTCTCTCTCTTATTTTCTCGCACTATTAACCTGCAGGTAACATTTTCCTGTAAGTTGTATTTAATTTGCACAATGTCCACGTTTCATATGTGCACGATATAACAACAAATGTATCCTGAGCATAAATATCAATTTTAATTGATGTATCAATTAATTATTACAATAGAGATAGAGAGACCCATGAGCAGCCATACAGATAGATCACGTTACTGCAGACAAATGTGTTGGTCAATGCTATTGGTAATAACAATTGTAGGTTTGGCTACAAGCATGACTGTAAAAGCAAGATCCTCACTTGCAGTTATCAAAACAGCTGTACTTGAATCCATGTTCCTTTAGGCGAGCTTCCAGATGAGCCACAGAGCCAACACCACATGACTCCCTGTTAGGATAGATACATTACACATGCTCACAACACATTTGCTGAGATATTTCTATTATAGCAGACATTCTTAACAACTCAAAACAGTGTAACTCTGAACATTATTCTATTCTATTTTTTTATGTAATACAATTTCCGCACCTCTGCTTATCACGGTTGGCTACGTACATTGCGAAAGAAATTCAACGTACATACACACTTGTTGGGTCCAAGTGTAGAGGTGGTTAGCACACTGTACTATGAACCCGTTGATCTAAGGTTGATTTCCGACCAGACTAATGTGAATAATGAGCAATAACGATTCATGAGTTCTTGTGAACATATCTTAAAACCTATATACTTCCCCTTCTGTGGCTTCCATTATGCCGTCTCAACTGCGAGACCCGTAAAGGCCGTTTCTTCAAAACATTAATTTCACGATTACACAATGACTTTGTGGCAAACCAACTACAATTTTTACAGTTAGGCCAACAACAATGCTTGTTTTTGTCGGCCTTAACGACGTTTCTTCATGAACATACATTTTGGACGAAAGGTGGAGTCATTTGCAGTCACCATTGTTTTTCTGAAAGCTTAGAACCACCGTGACACAAGACCCCTGAATATAACTGCAGTGCAGTGCTCTAAATATATCCATTCTTGTAATACCAAACCAGCATTTGTAAAAAGCATGGTTAGTGGAATCATTATCAACATTTTGCAAATGAAGTCCACCTTTCAGTCACAGCTGCTGTTGGTCAACCTCCCGTGAGGTCACATGGTTGATCACATAATTCACAAGCGTCCGTCCGTATGTCATGCTCTGAATTCCCAAACGATATTTTTGAAGGAATGAAATGTATAAAACCCAATAAAATATGTAGCTGTGGAAATATACAATATACATGAAATTGCTTTATTAGTTTCTGAAACAAGTGAAATATGTTTATCAGACAATGTTCATCCCTCCCCCCTTGCTCTCAAGGGAGGGTAAATTCGTCATTCCACATTGCATTGCAAATGTCGTGGTTGTGGGTATAGTTGTGATTATATCGTGGCTGTTGTGGTTATATTCTGTCCGCTGTGGTGACAATTACTCTTCGGTTCTTTCGGTAAAGTCACGCAGAAAGAAAATTTATTAAATAATAGAATACACCGTTTCGATTGCAACACAAGCAATCGTCATCAGGTAGAAACTTAGAAATACAATGCAATACAACACGAAGAGTCGGCTAACACAACATTCAACACTCTACCTGGTTAATTACGTTCTTCCAAAGATTGCTAAATTTGAGAGAGAGACAAAACACAGACACGGAGACACACAGACAGACACACAAGCAGAGAGAGAGACAACACGGAGACACACAGAGAGAGACACTCACAAAGACACACGGAGACACAACACCTCTGTGTCGAGGCCTTAAATAGAGAGAGAAGGGGGGGGGGGGAGAGAGGTGGGGGTGCTGGAGCAGAGAAATTAGCATGTCAATTAGATAGCTGTTTGCAAATCCACCCCGCAGCGGTCAGGGGGAACAAAGAGCGAATGGAGCTATGCAAGCGTGGTAAATTTTAGAGAGAGATAGGAAGTTTGAGAAAACGAACTTAGCAAAAAATTTGGAAATGTAATGCAATGCAACAGAGAGAGTCGGTTAACACACAGTTAACGCATAGCCTGGTTGATTACGTACTTCCAAAGATTGCTAAATTAGAAGTTAATTGTGAAATTTGACAAACAGAGACACACAAAGAGAGAGAAAACAAACTTAAATCCTCCCCATAGAGGTGATTCAAACTTGATTTGAAGCTTTCGTGACTGCTGGAATTACTCTTAGGTTATTTCTGTAAAGTCACGTCTCTCTCTCAAATTTTGCAATCTTTGGAAGAACGTAATCAACCAGGTAGGGTGTTGACTGTTGTGTTAGCCGACTCTCTGTGTTGTATTGCATTATATTTCTAAGTTTTAATAGGTTTGTTTTCTACCTGATGACGATTGCTTGTGTTGCAATTGAAACGGCGTATTCTATTATTTATTTATTTTTATTTCTACGTTACTTTATCGAAAGAATCAAAGAGTAATTCCAGCAGTCACGAAAGCTTCAAATCAAGTTTGTGGTGACAATGTTGTTGTGGTTATAATGGGATGGTTAGGCTGTTGTTATATGTTTCTGGTTATAATTTTGGTTCTGGTTATAATGTGATCAAGGTTGTGGTTATAATGTGCTTATGGTTGAGGTTATATTGTGGCTTTTGTGATTATATTGTGTTTTTGTGATAGTTATGATTATGTGGTGGTGGTGGTGGTTATAAACTGATGGTTATGGTTGATATATTGAAGTTATGATTGTCGTAATTGTTATGTGGCTGTTGTGGTTATGTGGTTATGATTGCTATAATGTGTGTTGTTGTGCCTATGTGGCTGTTGTGATTATATTCTGGGGTATGTTGCTGTCGTTATGTGGTGGTTATGCTTATGGTTATAGTTGTGTACCAAAAGACCCAAAGAATATGAATTCCTGCAATCACGAAAGCTTTAAGTCAAGATAAAGTATATGTTCTTTCCATGTTGCTCATTCACTGCCAATAATTGCTTCGTAATTAATCACCCAATTACCTATCAGGTCCATTCAATGTATCAATAATCCAAAGATGGATTTCAGAGACGTTGTCTTTCGGGAGATTTGGCAGCTCAATAGTTCCAAAGATACTGCAACGAGACACAGGCCACAAAGACAAACAACATTCATGACTGCAACTGCAACTTTCTCAAGTATCAAAAACACAACTTGTTTTTTTAAAATTCATAATTCAACGTTAAACCATGTTTCTAACATGACCGGCTCGACCATAAACAATGGATAATCAGATGACTTACCTGCCTGAATAGAATGCACCACCCTCCCTGGATCCGTTAAGCATCACTCGAACAACTCCACGAACATTCTGCGCAAACTACAAAAGGCATCGCAATTGGGATATTTATTTTCAGTGAGTACATAACAACCGAGTAGCATAAGGGGTGATATGCAGGTTAACAGTTGGTTGTAACTGTACCCAAAGTCCATATCCATTAACGAGACAGAATACAAAGTTTAGAGTGTATGTATGTTAAACTTATTTCGCAGCGTACGTGGCCAACCGTGCTAATCAGAGGTGCGGGAGTGTGATATAATTGTGATGTAGTTACAATACCGATTTGGAGGCCATGATCCAGAAAGATTTGACAGCATTATTGTCACACTCGGAATAGCCAGGGCAGGAAGTGTAATCCAGATCTGAATGTTCACAGAAAAAGGGTAATGCAATATGTATACACGCATTGCAAACACTATATAAAAAGCTCTCAGTATATTCAATTGCTGCTACCAACGGGAAATTATAAAAAAATGCTATTCAACACGAATATTCAATTTTAATAGAATATACGTGTTTGAGTACAGCAGAATTGTACCCAAACCCAGCAATACGCCCAAACCCTACGTCTTTGAGATAAATTCTATATAATCGGAACTAGGAAATGCTAATGCTGAAGTTGAAGATCTAACATAAGGCCAGACAGTCAAGTTTTTTGCAATGTGAATGCACGTGAGATGCAGTGCCAGCAGAGGTCAGAGGGATTATTCTTCGTTTAGTCCCTTGGCTTGTCTTTCACTGATATCTCCTTTCAGTCGTCTTTCCCCTTCACTGTGCATCACTACGTCTTGTAACTGAGGTAACTTCCTTCCAGCCCAGTGTTCAATGTTCAACCTCCAGTCAGATCGTGGTCTTCCTCTAGCATCGAGTAGCGTTCCCGTCTTCAGGGTGCTGCGGTGGTGAGATGTTAACTATCTTGCCTGGTTTACAGGAAGTCATGCGTTCGATCCCAACCCTGACGCCTGTATATTTGGAGGTTGCGTATTCTCCCTGTGGTCACGTGGATTTTCTTCAGTTTTTAGTTACACATTTAGAAACACGCGTTTCAGAGTATTTGGCTGCTATATATGTCCACGTAATAAGCCACTTTGTTGAGCTGTCATTTGTGGCCAGGTCGCTTCTGAAAAAAAGAGCAATATAGCTCAGTGGGCCTTGCCTGGTAAAATAAAAGTTTAAAGCATCATTTGCAGCCATTCACCATTCATCCTGGTCTAAAATATTGCAGTTTCCTTTACTTGACCTAACTCAGTAGCCTTGATTCTTTGTCTCTGTCCAGGACCTTCTTGTTAATTGCATGGTCTTTCATATTAATTTCAACAGTTCTCTGTAATGCTGTGAGTGTAAGGGAGGTGACAGTGGAGATTTAGGAACCTGGATGTGAGAGTCACGTATATTTTATCACAGCTGTTGAGCAGAGGTCTAATGAAATGCTATGCTCAAGGGTCCAGCAACGAAGAACACTAATGATAGTACAGAACAGGGGAGCACATTCCTTGAAATGAATAAGGGGCCGTTCATAAATGACGTCACGCACCTGGGGGGGGGGGGGTCTGATAATTGTGACGATGGGGGGGGGGGGGGGGGGGGTCAAAATTCGTCCAAAATCGCGTGACGTCATTTATGGACGGCCCCTAAGGTTATATGAACTTGGGGAAAGTGATGAGGGAAGGACATTTCAAATGTTGAGCAACGTGAGAAAAGGAGGATATATTATTTCCTATTGTTTTTAAACGATACAGATGATAAGAAACAGTCAATCTTGTAGAATTAGACAGCAGAGGTATTGAAGCACAAATTTAATGTCAACATTGACCATTGTGGTAACAATAAAAGTGAGACGTGTACTGTTATTGAATTATCGCATGATAGTCAAACTGGTATTTTTTCAGGAGCTTTTTGTCAAATTAAGTGAAAACCCAAATCTATTGCCAGCATTTGTTTTTGTACCGTCATTGGTATCCATTGAGCCACTACACTTGAGAACCCAGTTTAATCACAGGTCACTGACCATATTCAAACTCAGTATCACAGCATTCTTTTCGGGTCCGTCTGCCAAAGCCAAACGTCTTCTCAGTGGCGAGCGCATATCGGCGCCCGCAGGTTTGCCTTCTGCAAGGCCCCTGCACAGTGCAGGGGCCTTCCTCTCGTCACAGCAGTCGCAGCAGCATCTCGCTGGTATTGTGGAGCGCCGTCGTGTGTCCAGGTGGGATATTAACCTGCCGACCTGGGCGCAAAGTCGGTTCAGAGTTGTCCATGTGCCCCAACCCGCGATTGGACCTGTGCGGAATTGTTCACTCGCCTTGATGCCCATGCTGATCTGAGCCACCAAGTATGTTGAGCCTCTTTCACACCTTACGTAGCCAACGTAGCCAACGTAGGCAACCGTGCTAATCGAAGCAATCTAACCTCTGAGCCACCCAGCCACCTCTTCAATAGCTACATATTAGAATAACAGGCAACATTTCATACCTGGATTGCCAGCGATTGGGCACCAGTTGAGGTTGTTGGCGATGTAACCAGCCAGGGAATCCTCGAGAGTTAACAGCCTCGCCCCTGAATACTTGTGCACCAATGCATTTGTCCCGCTCCAGAAAATTTCCTGCAAATAAATCATAATCAGGTCATCTAGATCTGCAGTTTTCGTGACTGCAGGGATCCATACTCTTTGGTTCTTTCGGTAAAGTCACGTAGGGATAAAATAAATTAAATTACGACGTTTCGGAAGCAACACAAGTGTCCGTCATCAGGTGGAACAGCCACAGCAATAAACAAATTGCGTTAGAGGGCAAAAGAGCTGCTTGTGACAAGAGGCTATATAAGGCAAGAGAGGGGGGAGGAGCCAGGGAGGAGAGATCGAGAGGGTGGGGGTGTGGGGTAGTGGGAGTGGAGCTCTGCAACTTGCACCGCAAGTATGACACAATTATTTGCATAATCAGATAATGCCTTAAAATCCTTCCAATTTGTTTTTAAGTCGATAGAACAACAAGATGTACTCCCACGAATGAATGCACTGTATAAGCAGCAGAACCCCATTCTGTCTCCACAAATAATATTTTTTAGTCTATTGGCTAATTGCCTTTCCAGGTCTAATATTCAATATTGTTAAATATACCTGCGCAAAACAATCTAAAATGTTAAGTCCTGCTATTGGCACATATAAAACAAAAATTATATTAGTAACACACATTACATTCAGATCATGTTACCGGTCTGTAATAACATAACTACGAAGATAAAAAGAAAGGCAGGGAACTATGGGTCCCAGGCTTAGACTCATAACTCGGGATTCCCAAACTATTGAGCCTGCGTGCCAGACCCATAAAAAAAATTTCATATAAGCTTTCTAAATAATAAAATGTTGCTTTTTGTGTTGAATAGAATCCTATTGATTAGGATTATTGGTAAGAGCATTCCATCTGAACAAAGACTGAAACGTGTGGGTAGCATCTAGAAGCATCCAGCAGCATCCCGCCTTGCCTGATGCTACGCCGAGGGAACCGTACAACCGCTCATTCCTATTTACGCGACGTCGTTCTGTTCACTCAATTGCATTATATCCAATTCGCATCCGCTTTACAAGAATGTGTTCCCTCATACAGTCTTCGCGTTATATCCAATTCGCGTTATGAAAACCGTTTCCACAAAGATTCCATACAATACTAGAAAGTTTACACTGATGGATGCTCTACACTGCACGATGCCCAATTCCAATTGCCTGGATCAAGGCACATGTGTAATGAGGTAATCAATGTATCAATCTTCTGCATAAACACCTCAGTCACAGCCGTTGTTGGTCACCCGCTGTGACGCCAAGGACACTTTCTTCACTTTGGTTTGGTTTCGCTAGTCTCTCACAGTACTGACATGAACATGTTCACCGTAAAAAAAACCCATATTGCAATGGTTAATAGCAATAGCAGATACATCTTGTGCATGGAAAGATATGAATACACATACGTGGTATATGATATAAAAAAAATATTCCATGTAACATTCATGCTGAACACAACCGACACATAGTAAATTATATTAGAGACCAATAACCTTGTCTTTTGGCAAAGGATGGCTTGCCAGCGCAACAAACTGGTTGTAGCTGTCCATGGTGACCTCGCATGGCTGTTTGCCTTTGAATCCATTGTAGAATGCTTCCCACATCTGCTCACAGTTCTTGTCCCTGGGAGGAGAAAAGTTACTTCACCACCAGTGACGGAAAATGTAAAGCCCTGCAGCGTCTTGCCAATGCCCCGGCTACTGAAAGGGCCTCCACGAGGGAAAGCTCTGGAGAGCCACTCTGGACGGAATTCGGCCTGCACTTGCACGCTGGCTAGATGACGTCTTGGAAGATGTGGGCGTTCCCACAATTCATCCCACCACAAGTGGGTGACCTGCCGATCGACCGTGGCGTTCCAATGTATGCTACCAGGTGGACAAGAATGGACGCAGTGGGCAAGAAACTTGCGAATTGTGTCACGTTATCAATGATCCCATCGCGTAGCCGCATGAGTCATTGTCATTTGTTTTCATTTTGAAATGTACACGGTAGGTTCACGGCAGCCAATGGAGATGGACACCGACCCGATACTCACATGGGCTTGGAGGCACATTGCTCTTTGCCTTCAATAATAATAACTGCCCCAAACACTTCGGTGCCGAATGCCACATTCGAATAATTACTTATTTACGGTTTAACTGTGACGATATTAAATGTTAAGATTGAATGTTGAAGGTACCAGTTAATCTATAAGAGTGAAGCCAAACGTCGATAAGCCAGAATAACATTGAAATGTTATATCCATACAGTGCAATGGGGTTATTATTTAAAATAAGTAATGGCCCTGATTTTTTTTTACCTTATAAAATCAATAGAGACTAATCTGATCCAAAAAAAGTGGCATACATTTTTAGGTCTTCAAGAGGCTGACCAATGCCCTGCACAATTATCGTAAATGTTTGCGTTTGTTCAGGAACGTTTCACAGGATTAGCCGATTCTTTGTGTCGCACAATTCTCATTTGAAATCATAAAAAAATGCATTGCGTTTCACACAGACTTCAGAGGTAACTCAACAAATGTATAAGGCATGCAGTTAGCTGTGTCATCCATTCTAGTATCACCTACATGCTTTTGCCATTGTGAATAGACGATGTCACACTCATGCATGTCAAATTGAACAAGGCATACATGGGTCTTGGACATCATTTATTCCAGTTTCGTACGCTCATGTCACTCTGATCAGGTCTTAGCATCTTATTAATGAGAACCCATGAAGTGAAATATGGCATTTCAGATACTGTACAATTCAATCAGCTTCCGTCTTTGGCAGCACGGCTCTATAGAGGAAATATCGAAATGAACTCACCGTAAGGCAGGATTAATAACACGAATGTAATCGTAGCATCTGCCAACGAAAATCTTCTTCAGGTCTCTGGTTGTCCCCCGGGGAATCTCTGCCGAGCGTTTCCTCGTGGCATGTCCGTCCGCGACGAGGACGAGTGGGGCGAAACTCCACGCCAGCCAGCCCAGCAGACGGCAGACCTTCATCATGCCTAAGATGCCTCGGCTTCGACTTGTAAACAGTTCCTCTCTCTTAGTTAAGCTCTTAAGAAGCGAGCCGCGGTGGCGACGTGAGACGACAAGTTGAGAACAGGGAGCGCGCGGCCCTGCGTGGGGAGTTTTTTTTTTAGTGAGCGTGTGACCCCGTCACCTCCATTGCCACATTTGCCATAGACGGAGTTTTACTGCTGCTGTTTTGAACATCAAGTGTGTTGCATGTCACCAATAATTTTTAGTTATAATCAGCACCACAGCTACCCCCCCCCCCCCCCCCCCCCATTTGCGCTTTGGCGAAACGTCCAAAAGACGCGCGCAGCTTTGTGAAAGCACTCACGCTAAAGACAAGTATGACGTGTTCCGTGGAAAATGAAAGATGCATTATTACGAAACCTTTAATGTGCATCGTTTGTTTTTGTGGCCTGGCTTGTACGCCGCTACTTGTGCAAGAGTCGGACGATTACAAACTCGTGTTTGCTGGAGCTGTATGAAAAGTACAGTTCAGGACGTGTAGCAATGTCACTGGATTGCAGCACATTCGTGGTACATCGCACATGATAGCCAAGTGCACCGAGCAACTGTAACATGCATAAAATGTAGAACTCGCATGTGACAACATTATGAGACCAATTGATGCATGAGCAGCACCAGTTGGTGAATAATGAGGCTGGTTTGTTAGCATAAAAAATCATCGTTAGATATTAGCACGATTGGCTATGTAAGGTACGAAAGACGTTCAACATACATACATTGCAAATCATGCAATAATCTAATACAATAGTAAATTACACAGCTGTTAGTGAATGAGCAAGGGTGACTCATTATAAACTTGTATTTTTATGGTCTAAAGCTGCAACATTTTTTGCATACTGAATTTTCAACACATTGACGATTTTATAAAAGAAAAGAAAACCTGACAAAGCAACCGAATCCTGTGCCCATCGGAGATCTCGCTGCAGGACATAGTGCAGTTGCCAGATGGAAGCGAGTATTTTTAGGAGAAAGCTAATTTTAACACGACCGGAACTAACTTCAGCATCAACCAATACAGTTTGAGTGTCACATCTCTACATGCAATTTTGTTTTTCACTCACTGTGGTGTGTGCATACACGCTGTGCCCTATGTCCATAATTAAGCAGCATCTTTGAATTATAGCCCTCAGGGCCCACATTTTTGAGGTCACCAATTTTGCCAAACTTTAGCAAATAGCAGTTGACCAAGCCGATGATTTGGCAGATACAAGCAATCGCATGGTATCTAGTCAATACAGTATATCAAAATGCTAAAATAAATATGGAGCTCATACAATGGTTTTAAGTCTATGACCCTGTAGGCTTTCCAGACAATATTATGCAGCAGCATGTGTGGTGAACAATAAAACGTTGGATTGGTTAAGACATTTTTGGTATCATCAGCAGTTAGACTGTGCTAAACAAGTGCTGTTGGTGTTTTCCAAACGGTATTAATGAGACCCATCCATTATGCGGTCATCCAGAACAAACCAAGAAACATAGAACGACACAACAATGCCCAATTTACAAATATGAAGAAGGAGGCGTCACAGCGATGAACTCCGCTACTCCTGCCGCATTGATCAAGCTCAATCACCTCGCTGTCAAATAATAGTTGTTACTCTCCAACAGTGTCAGCCATAAGACGAAGTGAATAATGATCTTCATTGGTTGGTATGTTTATCCGGAGAAGACCTCCTGCAACGCTCCACCAATTTAAATGAATGATGTGTCGTTTGAAAGGTAACGATATTTTTTTTCTGTTACAAATTCGGTCGATATCATTAGACGTCATTTTTAGCTTCGACAAAGTAATTCGGCTGATTCAGTTTACCAGGCCTGCTGCTGCAGATCCGCTCGATCATTTGCAATAGTCCAGCATTTGACGTTGGTGACCCCCATTTGTACATTTGACAACCGGGTTGGCAACATTGGTCTCAGCGGTAAGCGTGGTCGCCACTCGTTGCAGAGGTTCCTTGTTCAAGCCTTGACGGCTGCCCTGGTTATTCCTGCGGGTTTAGCAACCATTAGGTACACACCGTCTGTGTCACGGTGGACGTTCAACATCATTTTGGCGTCATTCGAAACGAGTAGGTCGTTGTTATTATTGAATTGGCACGAGTACAGATAGCATGATCGCCCCCTACCGACACGACTTAGGGCTGGTTGCAGGCCAGATGCCGAGTCACTTTTGTGCCCACGTGGACGACTCTGCCACTAGGGGGGGGGCCCTTTCAAATATTCGAGGCGAGATTTGAGATGAGACGTGAGTTGTTTACTTGTAAAGCGCCTATTGAGAAGCCGCCTCGCCCTAAAGGGGCGCGATATTAAAACAAATAATTCTCGTTATTATTTACAACTTAATAGGTATGACGGGGCATGCTAGGTGCCCACAAAAACACAAGGTGCTGTCATAGCAGATGCATGCGGCGTCACTGCTGTTCACACCACAACTGCCCAAAAACTGGCACTCACAAACAATTATTCATGCCTCGTGTACCCTCCTTAAATACGGTGTCATAGACGTAATCAGTGTCGTATTATTGTGATAACACAATGATAGTAAAAATGCAATAATTATCGTGATTTTTTTTTATTCTTCATCAAATCATTGGCGGAGGCAGAAGGGGTAAATGAACTTTCATCGAAGGAGTTTAACGCTGACAATCACCAGATGGCGCTGGATGTACAGTAATTACCAGCCTAATTGTAATTGTTAAATGGTATGGATTGCTCTTTGACATCACGGTGTGCTGAAGCAATTAAAAACGGTGTGTTTGTTCACGTGACGGCTGTATGTAGTCAATTGTGGCAGGTTGAGGGGGTTACCTGACACACATTGTACTCACTCGATCTAACCCAAGAAAAAAATATATAATTGGATTCCTCAAAGTAATCTATTGCCGTCAGACCTCAAGATTTCCCACTTAGTTATATTTACAATCATGCTCCACCTGAGGGGAGCATTCTGTTCCTTAAAGATGTGAGCCCTACAAATTGATCCATGTTATTTAAAAGTCCAAGCCTTGTAGAGTTGTAATGCAAAGTGGCTAAGTTAAACGCGACACGACTGGGGAAAACGTGGAGCATCGCGGTCGTGTTACCACAGTCAGCGGAGTAAGTATTGAGTGTACAGGCAGTGTAACTGTACTGGGGCTTATGGGCCAAAGAAGCCCAGGCAATGAGGAGTGCATGTAAGACAGGGCCCCGTTTCATTCCTTACACTCGGGTCCATGCCAACCACTCTACGGTACTAACTATAGATGAATTTGGTTGGGAACGGCGGTGCAGTGTGCCACAAACTTGGAAACCCGAGTTTGATTATCAGTGAGTTAAATGTAAACTCCATGACAAACAACGCCCATAAACCAACAAGGCATAGGGAGCCCTTCATCCAGCAGTTGATTGCCAAACGTCTGTATGTTATCAATCTAATTTATAATACGAATAAATAAAGGTGAAATGACATATACCTGACACTGCAAGTGTCTTTGCAACGACCCACGTGCCACTGAATTCCTGGCAACGACGTAACTCTCTACAGGAAAAACAAGTGTGGACAGCTTTTAGAGATTCTGGCATATTTTACGTAATTGTATAAATGTATCTCTCAAAATGTGAACTATTAAATAACCGTCACATTGTCAACGATTGGGGCCAGTGTACACATTTGTTAATACACTGCTGGATGATGGCCTCTCCACGCTGTGGGGTTCGTGAGGATTGTTTCATCATACTTCAAGCTATTCAATGTTGGTTTCCAACGGTGGAGAGCAGAGACTGACTCTACTGCACTGTCCATCATGTAGCCCCAGAGCCTTTAATATGGTGACAATATGTTAACTACCTCGTCTGGTATGTAGGTCATGGGTCCAATCCGGACCCTGACGCCTGTATATTTGGAGTTTGCATGTTCTCCCCGTGGTCGCGTGTGGTTTTTTTTCCCCCATGTCCTCCGGGTTTTCCCTCCACATTTAGAAACATGCGTCTAGAGTGTTTGGCTGCTGCTGTAAATTACCACGTGATAAGCCGCTTCGTTGAGCTATCATTTGTGGCCAGGTCACTTCTGAAAAAGAGCTATATAGCTCAGTGGGCCTTATTTGGTAAAATAAAAAGTTTCATTTAGTTTAACTTGCTATGCATCATGGTCGCCTATCCAAAGCACTGTCCAGGCTTAACCCCTGCTAAGCGAATTGGGTCATAGGTGTACTAAACGTACAAAGGTGAAAATTGTAAGGACAACGTTTGTAAACATATTTAGTTTCAATACGGGGTCAACAGTATGGACACCCATGGGGAGGGACTCCCGGAGAGTGAAGGCAGAAAAGGAGAAGGCATGACTCCCATTTTCATCATATTGGTGGATGATAGAATGATCACCACCCTGACACAAACTGCAAAAATGTTACTGTATCTCTTTGATAGCATTATTACGTATATGCTAATGCTGGTTTTGCTCAGGCTCAGAACGACTATGCACGTCATACAGTTGTTTTTTGCATGATATAGTACAGGGACGAGGATTAAATTTCCAGTCCATGGCCATTTGAGTCAATGCATCGCTCAGTTTACTCTACTACCCAATTACATCGCCCTACAATAAATGCATTTGACATTAAAAAGTCCTTGCCCCAGTTAAATTCCGGAACATCACTTACTGACGTTAATCGAAATGCAACACAAACTATAGTCATAACGAAATGCACTTCCTTGAATTACAGTTAGCTGTAGATCAATAGGACACTGAACTGTACACATGACCTCGTGGTATAACGTAACACTGCGCAGGATTCATGCCCCAATTTGCCACTGCCGATGAAAATTCCTAAATCACGCAGCGCACATTCTGTAAGACTGCGTCCGTCTCCCAACAGTCTGGTTAATCCGTTGCTCTTAGGATCGGGGCAATAAAAACACATTAGGCCATCCAAAAACTATGATCTTCCTAAATAAAAACATTTCATCCGTGTAATATCTAGTCATTTACAGGTCTACTGCTGGATGAAAGCCTCCCCCATACTATGGAGGTAAACTTTCCCATGCTGGCCAGTGCTGGTCAGATATTACTTGCCATTGTTAACCGTAGCCAGTAATCCAACTCAGACTTCCGGGGTTCATAGTGCAGTGTGCTAACTGCTGCACCACCACTCCACTGAACCATATAACACTAGCTGTTGTGACAAATGGATCAAGATATATGAAGAGTTTCAGGGTGTTTTTTTTAATGCTTTCACGAGTAAGGACAAAAATAGCAAAAAAATGTCTCACGCGTGAAATAAAGGGTACATCCTTACTAAGTGGAACATATCGAAAGTGAGAAGCCCCTGAGATGGTCGTTAAATTGAGTGTTGGGCCTGGTGGCACGTGATGAGTAGCGCAGTTGGCTACTTACGGTGTGAAAGAAGTTCAACATACATACATGATATCCATCTCTTAGATGGCAGGGTTGGTAAATCACACGAGGGCCATCTTTCACATGGGAAACGCGTCTGTAGGGAAATGTGGAGGCAAAAACAAGGCAGAGTACTCAGGTTTCCTGAGTACTCTTCATTCCTCCCTTCTGTAGAACTACTCAAAATGGAACTGGCCAACATCCAAAAGAGGACTCGGTGAGATTTTCCTCGGGGAAATAATAATTCTAATAATTTTCACGCAGTGCATAAAATCATCTTCCAATGTAACTGTGAATCACTTTGGCCAGTTGTCAGCTTTCGCCAAAAATTATATACTGTCCTGGACTAGACAAAGAAACACGTACATTACGAGACATTAGATTGGGGACACAAACACGTAAATATAACTGGAGACATTAACCATCTCAGATTTTGCTGACGATACAGTCATTATGACGTCCAATGGGAATGAACCACAGGAATGTTGGAAGAACCGTACTTAAACATAAGTCTGCAAAGATGCACTGAAGATAAATGTTTGCCAAATAAAACATCATGCACGATGCTTTTTCTAAACAATAAGATATAACTGTTGGAGGGACGCATCTGGAAAACAGCGAAGAGTACGTGTATATCTGATGTAGTGGGTTTTTTTTTAAGGTGGACTGAGAAGATACAAAGGATTAAATAAAGAGGTGGGAAAAAGAGGGTTTGAGCATTTTTGTAAATCTGAACTTGAAGCAGTAATGAGAAACAACACGCCGACGCGCGTATAGATGAGAACGTTTTAAATCAGTGTACCGCACAGAAACGTGGACCAGGGTAGGTCGATGTTCCAGGCCAAAAATATATATGCGCAATAATACATAAATAATGGAAGCCTACTTTTTAACACATTACGGCTGCATCCCTCCAATCCAGTGGCTCCCAACCGTACTGGTATCAAGACCGACTTGCCCTGGCGGCCCCCCCAAAACCACAATTAACGTTACCCAGGGCACCATTTACTGAGTGCCCACGTGTCCACGCGTCTCATCATCGCGACGTTAATTGGTTGCGGGTTTCGTCGATGCAAATCGACGCTGGCAATCCCCCATGCGGATTCGAAATGATCTCCTGCACAGTTTCCATGCCGCGGCCTGTGCCGCCCCCCCCCCAACCCCGAAAGAACTATAGTTGAGAACTACCGCTCTATGACCTGGTTTGATTTAAAAATACAAGAAGCATTACTGGTAGGAGACGTAGTGGACTGGAAGCCCAACCGGGATTAATTCACAGGAGGCAGGGGATTAATTGTGTATGTCTGTGGATGTCTGTCCACGTGTATCCGGACACCCGGATAAAATGGGAGGGGTGGGGCTGGGTGGGGAGGGGAGGGTGGGGAGGGGCTGGGAGGGTGGGGAGGGGAGGGTGGGGAGGGTGGGGCTGGGTGGGGGGTGGGAGGAGTGGGGGGTGGGAGGGGTGGGGGGTGGGAGGGGAGTGGCTGGTCACCCCGTGGTGCCCTTATAAAACTCAACGTTTAACCTACTCACGCCGACTTGTGCCTGCCCTCACAGTCGGGCATATTTTTGGAATACACCACGTGCCGCCGTTGACCCTGGCCATTGACCGAGCAACCCAACGTTCCTACCAGCTCCCTCCGCAGGAATGTGTTCAATGCGAATTTATATTCGCATTCTAGGCAAGAGCTTTTCCTTCTTCTTAAAAAGGGGCCTCCAGACTCGTTAGATAGAGGACTTGCGGTGTAGAGTCCAGCAATGCACCCATGTACGTCTACCCCTTTTACATAGTTTCCATACCTGTCACCCCCTTATCAGTGCCCTACCTTATTACAGACCAATTCAGACCTTATTGGTCACCCCGTGCCCTTATATAAAAAAATCTCAACGTTCATCTGACAAAGTCCCATCACAAGTGAGAAACACAAACAGACAAAAAAAATGTGCCCTTATTAAAACGGCTGTACGCTGTATGGACCTGAAAACTCAATTTCGCTGCACAAGAATACGGGGTTAAACCGTGTGGGTTGACACGGCATGAGTTTCGCAAAAAACGTCGTCACTTCATTCCCTGATTTGCGTCGCTGACAGCATCGTCCGTCCTTCCTCGTATCCGTCGCCTCGGCCTTCGCCTCCATCTAGCCCTGGAAATTGCTTCGATTTACGACATTTCGAAGGTGCGACGAATACCTTTAAGGCGCTACGAATATCGGGTTATACTACTTATACGACGATTGTACTGTGATTGCGAATCGGGTGTCACCAAATGTTGCTGAAATGAAGGAACGAACAGCAGGTGGCGACGAAGCACAATTTATAGCAGAGGCTGAAAGCATTTTCCTGCAGATTTTCCTAATTTTATAAACGATAACAATTGTTTTTATTTTACTAGGTAAGGCCCACTGAGTTATATAGCACTTTTTCAGAAGCGACCTGGCTACACATTATAGCTCAACGAAGTGGCTTATCGCGTGGAAATGTAAAGCAGCCAAATACACTAAAACGCATGTTTTCTAAATATGAAAGGAAAAACCGGGAGACCTGGAGAAAAAAATCCACGCGATCACGGGGAGAACATTCAAAGTCTAAATATACAGCAGCAGGCGCCGCAGTTGGGATCGACCGCACGCCCTCCTGCATACCAGGCGAGCGGGTTCACATCCCGTCACCGCAAGCGCACTGCTCTTGCAAACATATTAACCCAAACCTACCCTCGATGGCGCTATTGCTTAGAGCCTCATTTTTTTGCTTAAAGGTCAAGGTATTCCCTATTCTTTACAGCTTCATCTGCGTTTCTAGAGACCCATCTAAACACATGCCACATCGCACCACGTGAATAAAACCACTGTAATAAATGTTGTACCAACCATTGAGAATCACAGCTGTCTGCAGCAAACAATGCCCGATGACTGTGTGGTAATATCCATATTTTTTCATAACAGTCCGTAATTTGACATGCATATTGCTGATGAAACAATATATGGACATTAAAACCAAATTTTAATTGGCTAGGTGCATTCAATAAGAGCTGTCAAAGTGAACCCATTTAAGCTTGATGCAGTTTATTACTATCATTTTTCTTGAGTATGATTATATATGTGTATGTTCCTTGGGCAACATCTCGCATGAAATTGATCAACACTGCCCTAATGCCATATACATGTAAATGTGTGGCACTTTACCCTTCGATACGAGAAACGGTTAGTATTACGGCCAACGTAAGTTGGGCTGTAATTGAAATATAATACGATAAATGTAGCCGATTGTTTCTTTTGAAATTTTAATTTACCGTCACCATTTTTTGTAATTATTAAAATTACATTTCGAACCAACAATGAATGAAATTGCATTTATTAATGTGTTCTGTCGCAAATACTGCGGTATGTGGATCGTTTGAGTTCATAGCTACTAGTAAGGCAACTTTGGGGGCAAACATACCTATAAGCGAATAACATTCAGTCATTTATTGTTGTAACAATTTTCAAATGAAATATTACGGT